TGAAACTGCTAATGGTAATGATGATGATGTTAATGTTTATGGCAGTAGGTAATGATGGGATGATAATAATGATAATGATAATGATGAGATGATGATAATGATAATGATAATGATGAGATGATGATAATGATAATGATAATGATGAGATGATGATAATGATAATGAGAATGATTTCTGTGATCATGTGGTTAATAATAATAACACCCAACATGTCTCACACCTATCTTGACCCGCAGAACCTCCCCTTCTAACGCAATCTCTTTCTTATTCTATTAAAAGTACAACGCATTTTCCATTTAGAAGTGTTTAGATCCACAAGTAATATATGCCCCTCCCGAAGGCTTTGAAGTTCATATGGCTCAGTCCCTCACCCCCCACCCCCCCACCCCCCCACCCCCCCAAAACACATCTCGAAGCCAAAGGAAACATCCATCACCCTGGGCCTTGTATATGGCTCTCTGGCACCTTCTTGATGATCTGCAACACTTGTCTTCCTATAGACTCTCACAAAAACCATAACCTGTGCAATGTGTTGGCACTGTCTTCGGGTCTCCGGATCGGCGTCTCGAGGCACTGCTGTCATGATCTGGTGTGGAGTGCCAGGTGCTAAGCGAATCGACGAGAATCCTTTGAATGTTGTGAATGTTGCGGGCACATGGGAAGTTTGGCTTGGCTTATGGCGACTACTCTTTTTACCCCCTTTCTTTCTTCTCTCCTCCCCCCCTCTTTGTCTTTTTCTCCCTCTAATTATTATTATTGTTATTATGCTGCCCCCTTCTTCTTATTCTTCTCCGTTATTTTTGCTCGGGCTGAAGCGTTGGGAAGTCATGCTGAAAGGCCAGTGTTTTGTTTGTTGGCGCTTGTTCATTTTGTTTATATATTTTGCGTGAAAACACATGCGGTGTTTAAACATGTGTATAAACACACACACACACACACACATGCTCTCACACACACACACACACACACACACACACACACACACACACACACACACACACACACACACACACACACACACACACACACACACACACACACACATGCTCACACACACACACACACTCACTCACTCACTCACTCACTCACTCACTCACACGGTGCTGAATAATGGGCCGAGAGAAAGCGAGAGGAATCCGACAGGTGGCCAGCCAACGGGTTGTATGGGACCGTCTGGCAGGCGGCGCGATTGACGTGACTGCAGTTGGCACGGAACCCGGGCGTCGGGCTGAACGCGATCTCAAGCACGTGTCACACCCGCGCCCCTGGTAAGAAGCCCCCGCAGGAACGTATGTGTTCCGTCTTGGCTTCTGCTCACCGTGGTGTTTTCACTCTTCCGTGAATGACTCGAAGGCAAGCGCTCGTTAACCCAGAGAAATCACCTGCAGAATGCACTATGTTCATCTGCTTTTACATACTTGCGTATAATTATCTCTTGCCTTGCGCCGAGCCAGAAGGGGTGCTCGCTGCTGCAATATATTTTGACGGGGTCTTGTTTAGACCGCGATGGGCTAGGAAAAAGCTGGCTACTGGCCCGGACTTACACAAGGTACATCGGTGCGGTTATTGGGTAGCTGTGTCTTAAATGCTTCTCTTTTTACGTTTGGTTTGAGTTTTTTTTTTTTTTTTTGTCTTTATTTTTCTTATATGTCGAGTGACTATTGCTGCCGCATATTTCGGTCATCGAGTAAATTTTCTTTCCGCGGTGATGCTTGGGTATAAATTCTTCGAAGGAAGATCATCAAATCGGTATTTATTGATTCATTTTATTTTTATTTCAACACCTTGTCAATGAATCACAAGAACACGAATGGCAAGAAAAATGAATAGGCTACTCGTGCGCCAAGCCATGCATGAAGTACACCCCCCCACCCTCCACCCCCCCTCGAGACGGCGGCCAAAGGCAAGGCAGCCAGAGCGACCTTCTGCGCTGGCAACATGGGCGCCGCAGACACTGTGTTGGGACCTTCTATACTTAAGCGAGGTTGGGAATCTTCATGCCAGTGGGTTTTGGGGAGCTTCGCCGAAGGGATGGAGCTCTACGACCGCTGATTTTGGTCCTTATCGAAGGGTTACATAGGGGCGATCTGTGTCTTCCCACGCCCGGAGCAATGTCCTTTAAGTCAGTATTTTTTTTTTTTTTTTTTTTTTTTTTTTTTTTGCTGTATTTTGCCTTCATATGACGTGGATCAATGTCTTCATTTACTCAACGGCTGCCCTTTTCGACGGGTAAATACGTTGGCAAGAGCAACGTGTTTCTCCTGAGTCAATATTTTCTAAAACATCCATTTTGACGATTTAAAGACACATGTGGTATTCTGCCCAAACTTCTTCCTCCGCACCGACTCCACTTAAAGTATGATAAGTGGGCCGATTTCCGATAGATTTTTTAAGTGCTTAGGTGTTAAAAAAGTCTTTATCAGTAAGAGATTATTTGTTCATGATTGAGGGCTGTGCGAGGAACTGAAAGCGAGATGATTCGTTAATTTTGGATTCGAGTAAAATGTCCGACGTGTTTATTTTCCTAGTGTACTTTGAGGAGTCGGGTAACACTTGAAGAAAAGTCGGAGGAGGAAGATTCAATTTCTCCTTTTTTCCCTCCTTTTTTTTTCTTTTTGGGTTACCGTTAGACGCCATAGAGATTATACGGGTCTTTGTCAATGGGTTATTCTCATGTCATTAGAGTCGAATATCCAGGTTTAACACCAAGGCAATCGGCACTGTAGAACATTTCGATATTTTTTTATTGGCTTTTAATGACTTTTTTTATTCGTATGTACAACATCGGCAAGCCTAGGGTGAACTATAAAATCTTGGCGAAATAGCGCTTTAAGCTCGATCTAATTTTATTTTGGTTCTTCACTGTTCGCCTCGTCGTCATCGTCACCATCACCAACCATTATCAATCTATGAGTACCGTCGTCATCGTCACCTCTATCACTCTCATTATCACTATCATCACTATCATCAACAGTGCTATCATCGTCATCAACATCATCACTATTAATATTATCATCATCGTCATTATCAACATTATGAGCATCACTATCGATTGCCAATATTACAGTCATCATCATCGCAACCGCTATCATCATAATCACCATTATCACCATCAATATCATCACGATATCCATATATTAATATCATCAAACTTTTTCACGCCACAAAGTCCTCAAAAAAACAGTAAATTAAAAATCACCGAAAATTCACTACACAGAAAGAACAGAAAAAAAAATCCGAAAACCAAAAGAGTAATATCATTTAATGGAACTAAACAGCGTGAAGGACTTACGGTTTATCATAATACGAACAGTGACAAAATAACACATTAACAGTGAATACCTGTTGTATGTGGCTAATGAGGTCTAGTTTCCCGTTGGTTGTATTTTATGTTGTATTGATCAGGTGATTGCTACACTATCAAGTTTATTTTTGATTGATACAATTGAGTACGCATTTTTGTTGTTGTTGTTGTTGTTAGAATTAACTTTGTATTAGAGTCATCCCAGGGAGGCATAAAAACCTGGACGCAGGAATTCTCTGGATCTCTGGTGTCTCATATCTGTTTTTTGTTTTCTTTTCTTTTGTGAATAACCCAGTGCGAAATACCCACTATATACAAAGAATATATACGACGTACATAAAAAACGGATATACGGCACATCCCAGCTGTCTCTCTCTCTCTCTCTCTCTCTCTCTCTCTCTCTCTCTCTCTCTCTCTCTCTCTCTCTCTCTCTCTCTCTCTCTCTCTCTCTCTCTCTCTCTCCCTTTCTCTCCCTCTCTCTCCCTCTCTCTCTCTCTCTCTCTCTCGATCTATCAACACATTTATCTATTTATCGACGCATACAAATGTCCATGGAAAAAAAATCCTTGCAGTATGAAAACGAGAGAACATGTAGCTCACCGCTGGCACAGGACACCTTCTATTTCTCCTCGCCATCTATGGCACACTTGTTGGCACTGGGGGATTCAGTTTCTTTCGACCTGTCTGACACTTTTTCTTTTTCGAAAACAGGTAATTTCACATCAAGTACTGTTTTGTTTGGGGATAGATGGGTTTATACTGTAGAAGTGAAATGTACGTATATTTATTTAGGGATTGAAATAGGTAGGTAGAGATAGAAAGAGAGACAGAGATAGGTCGATAAACGGATAAATGTGCTGGTAGATCGAAAGAGAGAGATATAGATAGATAGAGAGAGACAGAGATAGAGATAGAGACAGAGAGACAGGGATAGACAGGGACAGACATAGAAAGAGAAAGAGAGAAAGAGAGGAGAAACGAGAGAGGGAGAAAGTGTAAACAAGGCCTACCCACGCCAATAAATCCACATACTTTTCCATACTTTATCGAAGGACGCCGAAAATGTTTGCCCCTTCGTGGGTGTATCGCCAGTCTCGCCGGGTTGTAAGTAAGCATTACTCCGTTGATCCCACGGTCGGGTACTGCCAAGAAATTATATCGCGCTTACACCTACCTTGCCTCCGTCGGGAGAAGAAGAAAAAAAAAAGAAAGAAAAAAAAATCGATGGGGTAAACGGTAACGTGTATTTTGTTATCGTCTTTGTAAAAATAAAAGAAACAAATCAAGGTAACGTGAGGATTTTTTTTTTTTTTTTTAAGATGGGTTATTTTTGTTTTATGAGAGAGGGAGAGGAAGGAAAGGGGAGAAGGAGGAAAGAAGGAGGCAGGTAGGAAGAGAGAGAGAGAGAGAGAGAGAGAGAGAGAGAGAGAGAGAGAGAGAGAGAGAGAGAGAGAGAGAGACTGAGAGAGAAAAACAGGATAAAGAGACATGAGAAGAGGGAGCAGAGGCAGAGGAAATAGGTAGGGGACGAAAGAGGGTGTGGCTCTCTCTTATCTATTTGTATTTAAAATGTCTGTCCCTGTCTAATGATTCTCAGCTGACTGCGTTCGGGTATCTGCTGCTTGTATTTTGCTTTTGATATTTATACTTACTCTAATGTGTTGCAAATTGATTTTAATACCTTTTTTATCTTTCTTGCAGAGTGAATCCAGGGATTGAAGATGGCGAGTTCAACTTTAAGTCTAATATATAGTAATCGACCTCACCGATTAACTCAGGTAAATTATTTTCCACTTTTGTATGTCAAGTCTGGCGGTTTTTGTTGAAGGGAATGTTGCAACAGGGCAGTGCAAACCTCAGTCTTCTATTCGGTCGTTGTATTTTCTAGCACAGTTCAGCATTGGATTTTAAAATGTTTCTAAGATTTAAGACTAATTTACTTCTTGTTGCGGCGCTTTGTTGAATGCTTCGGCGCTGTGATTCAATTGCTCTTTATATTCGTCCTTGATCGAACCTCAGTTACTTTGGCAATATTCCCATTTAAAAAAGGCGGCTTGCACGAACATTTTCCTTGAAGTCGGTACTTTTGATCGGATTAGAGAAAGCGATTGTCGAGTAGTTTAACGGTGTTCAGAATTTATTCCTTGATAAGCTATCATTGGCCTTTCTGATCATGAAGATGAATAGTGACCATCATGATTCCACGGGATTAATGTGCCGCGTTTCCCCTTTGTTCCGCAGGTCGTAGCCACGATGATCGTAGCGCTGGGACCCCTGGCGACGGGCCTGGGCAAGGGCTACTCCTCGCCCGCCCTCGCCTCCATGAAAACGACGCCCTCGACGAACGGCACGCACTCGCACGACTTCTCGATCACGCCCGAGCAGGGCTCCTGGATCGCGTCCTTGTCCTTGCTCGGCGCCTTCTTCGGCGGCATTCCCGGAGGCCTGGCCATGAGGCTGGGGAGGAAGAGCGTGCTGGCCGTAGTGGCCCTGCCCTTCGCGCTCTCGTGGTTCCTGACGGTGTTCGCCTCCAGCGTGTACATGGTGTACGCCTCGTCGTTCATGTGCGGCATCTGCTCCGCCGTGGTGTCGCTGGTCACGCCCGTCTACATCAGCGAGATCGCGCACCCCGAGATCCGGGGCTGCCTGTGCTCCGTGGCCAAGCTGACGGCCAACGTGGGCATGCTGCTCTCCTTCCTGCTGGGCGTCTACCTCGACTGGCGGCAGCTCGCCATGGTGGCCTCCATCGCCCCCGCGCTGCTCTTCCTCTGCCTCATGCTCATCCCCGAGACGCCCAGCTACCTCCTGTACCGCGGCCGAGACGAAGACGCCGCCACGTCCCTCTCGTGGCTCCGAGGAGGACACGACATCTCGCAGGAGCTGGAGACGATGAGGGCGAACATCGAGGCCATGAGGGAGGAGTCGGAGGTCACGTGCTACCGCGAGTGGCGCCGCGACCTCATCAAGCCCGTGCTCATCACCTGCGGCCTCATGGTCTTCCAGAAGTTCAGCGGCGCCAACGCCTTCAACTTTTACGCCGTGCCCATCCTGAGGGAGGCCTTCGTCGGGATCAACCCCTACAGCGCCGCCGTGGTCGTAGGGCTCCTCCAGATCCTGGCAGGGATGGTGTCGTCCGTCCTGATAGACACGGTGGGCAGACTCCCGCTGCTGATCGTGTCGAACATCCTGATGTCGACGGCGCTGGCTGGCTTCGGCACTTTCCTCTACGTGACGGGGGGGAACGGAGTCAACGCCGGCGGCCTCGACTGGATCCCCCTGACCTGCGCCCTCATCTTCCAGGTCGCCTTCGCCCTGGGCATCTCCCCGATC